TAAAGGCCGTTTTCCACTAGGCGAATTTTTTCGCGCGACGCGAAGCGAAAACCGAAATCCGGCAACGTGATTGGTCGGCGAAAAAATTCGCGGCAAAAAAGTAGGATCGCTTCCTACTTTTTATCTGTTCGCGCGAATAAATTCGCCTAGTGGAAAACGGCCTTAAAACAACAAGGCATGACTTTTTTGAAATCACAAAATATAAATTATGTTCGATATACTGTTTATAACTGTGTCGGTTAATGGTCAACTAAGCGTGGATTATACATGTAAAAATGGCAAATATATTTAGGTAATTACTGATTATGACTCTTGGTATTAATTTGAAAAATGTTTGTCAAAATTCGTCCCGTGTGAGTTAGTACTATCGTCGGATGTGTTCGCAAAATGCCCGTTCAAATTTCAGTTTTTATAGCGGTATGTTTGGAGTTTCGGCCCTGCTCATTTCACTCGTAGGGGGCTCATTATTTAAGTCATCTTTATTGTCATAAGTGCTGCTAGATTGTGGAGAAAACACTGCAAATTCTTGAGGAAACTTTATATCATATCCCAATGTTCGCGATCGAACCTCGCGTACGGCGGTTCAAAAAACATCCAGAATACCGCTTGAAAAAAAACAAGTTTACATTATCTTCTTTTGAAACATCACATCCAAGTATCGTTTTGGCTTTTAGAACTCTTTTACGCTTTCAACTAAAGCAAAGTTCACACTTTTGTTTCAAAAAAGAGTTCCATATAAAACACAACGTTCGTTCGTATTTTGAAGTCACACGAGTTTAGTTTACATATATACGAAGAACGTAACTCCCGGAAATAAAACCCTAGGGAGCCACCTTAAGGTCAAAAACCGATGAAACGACGAATATTTTACTGGAATTGTATATTTCGACCACTTGCATTGTCATATTGCGGTTCCTATATGGGCTACAATCGATCTGTCGTATTAGTTGGGTTTAATCAAAGATTAAACTTTGTGATGTTATGTACCTAACTATGATGTTTAATTTTCTTATTGTAACTCGTATAAATCTCACATAGGAATTCTGATCAACACTTTATTAAGTCGGCATAGACGATCGACCAACTTTCAGAAAGTCACCGCACTCTAACAGCTGTGTTTTTTGTTACAAACTGTCGCCACTGGTATTTTCGTATAGTCAGTTAAACACTGGTGAACAAGACTACATAGCTTGCAGATCTCAGTTTGATTTTGAAATTTTAAAATTGCTATGACTATGTACTATGTTGACTAAAAATGCAAAATTTCACTTTTCGTTTTGAATTACGAAATAGTTTTTCCTAAGTACCCACCAATGAAAATTCGCGTAACTTCATGTACATTGCGAATTGTCGTTGAGCATCGTTTCGTATAACATCGCCTTATGGTCGCCTTTCGATAAAGAGCCCAGTTTGGTCAATGCATGCATGTATAGTATCGATATCGTCTTTCATTCACCACAATAGCACTGAATATTGGCAGTAAACATCATAGAGTAAAATGTGGTCTAACACAGTAACGTATAGTTCTGATTTAGGTGAAGGTCATGTTCACTGAGCAAATATCAGGCAATCATAGTTTATTTCAACTTGCAATGCAATGCAATGCAATGCAATGCAATGCAATGCAATGCAATGCCATGCCATGCCAAGATCTGAAAAGCAGTCACAGATAAATGAGGGTGGTAAAGGGGGTTCGGATAACGTTTCCACGTGAAGTAAAACAGCCATTTACGTTTTACATGTAAAAAATAACCATTTCACGAAAATTAAAAAATACGTAAATTTTAACTGTATTTATTATATACATGACAAAATTACTGCAATCTGATTGGTTAAGAGGAATGCAATTATTTCATTAATTGCACTCTCCAGGAGTGCAATTAATGATTTTCGTGATGACTGGGGGGAGCGGGAAATCAAAACAACAAAATCCAATATGGCGGCGAAATTTAGATAAGTATTTCTAACAAATGTGGACGAATTTAAATGAGTTTAAGAAACATTGTATGGCAAAAGGAACCTGTTAAAAATACCTGGAAAGAGTCTTAAGAAATAATCTTGGCGGGATGCAGCGAAACGTGACTATATGTAAGTTTGAAATACAATTTATAAAGATTTTGTTAGTCTAAAATATGTTATTTGAGTTTGAATCTTGTGTTCTTGTTTAAGTTATGTGCCTTTATGAGTTTATAATTATTTCCCAAGTTTGTTTATACCAAATTGCTTACAAAAGAATTAAAAACTCTTGACAAAATGCAGTTGAAATATAAAGAAAGCGATTTTGTCATGAATATAATAAATAAATAATCACACGGGCAAGTCGTGCAATTAATGATTAACACTACTCGTGATATTTGAAAAATGTGCCAAATTGCACTCGCCCTGGCGGCTCGTGCAATTTTGGCACATTTTTCAAATATCACTCGTAGTGTTAATCATTAATTGCACTCCTTCCCGTGTGATTACCTATACAAATTACTATTAGCCAACACGTTAACGTATATTTTTACTGACGTTTTCTAAACTAATTTCACCACTGAAAGCTCAATTAACATTGAGAGACTTCAATTTAAAATACCACCGGATATATATCGATGTAGTAAAAATCCGAAAAAAAACACATTGTAGCAAGAAAACTCTGGAATACTCTCGTCTCGAGCTACATATACATATGACTTAATATGACCAGAGATATGACGTGGAAAAATCTCGAACCACTGAGCTATAATATTACAGCTCAGTGGTCTCGAACACACCAGTTCGATGACGTCATTCTTGCATTTCCGAATAGAACAAACGCTATTGGCCGGTAACTCAATCACACCACCATGACTTTAAAGTGAGGTTTGCTCAACTGTATCCAAAGATTAAAATTTATTCATAAACAATGATTCAAAAGTATAGAAACCTGAATCTTTCAAAGACGTGGGCAAAACCTTTACTTTACAAAGTTGCTTTGATATTGTCTTTAAGAATTTTCATGTCGGGAGGAAAGTCTTAATTCTTAAACAAAGTTAATATACTGTAATCTACATCGACTGCAGACTGCACTTCATCATGATTCATGAATCATTCAGTATTCACAAGTTATTCCGCACAAGAGTTTGTGTACTTTTTAGTACACATGCCCCATGCCGACAACACAACATTCATATGCTGTCTTATCCGCATGATCTCGTAACCCGCAAAGCATGGCTTCATCAATATATCGGCAGTCATTTATATATTATACCAGAGATACTAGCAGATACCATGCAGATGACTGCTCGCAGGCTACCCAAAGGCAGCTGTCATGGGAATAGCTAACATTATGCGCGTTACTGTTAGTTTATTTGATTATTCTCGTTGTGGCATTCTTTACTAGTCTTAGTATGTACATACTATAGGCTATAGTTCTGACACAAATTAATGAACATTGAGTCGACAGATTTTCGGCACCAGCTTCACGGAATTTTATTACCTGAGAGCACTGATTCTGTGATAAAATGCTTGTTGGAGTTGCTGACACAGTCGATATCCTGATGACGTACACTATCAGTAATCGTACGGTAACATACAGTGTAATATGTATCATGGTTATAGATTCTTATATTCGTGACTTGTAGTCTTACCTTTGTTCAATTCGAAGCATCAACAATTCGGCGTCATTGTCAGATCAGGCCGTGAAATTGGCTATATCAATAATCTTGTTTCGCTAGGTGGTCATTGATCGTTTACGTGATTTTACTCTTGACAAGGGCCAAGGAAGTTTACAGGACAAACCAGTTGACATGTGGAGTGAAAAGCCTTCGCCGGAACGCGGGTAAACCGCCAAACTTGAGCATCATTCGGCCACACGCAAGGTCGCCGAGCCGATATGAATGCATAATAACACGACTTTCAAATTATATGCAAATCTGGAATTTGTAAGTCCTATCAACCTTTACAAATTACAATAGTGACTTACAGTATATGTTGTCGTAGCGATTGAGAATTTCGTCATTTAGAAAATGGAAAAATAATGTGAAGGTCAAACACAGCTTTATTAGATTAAGATGCAAAGCCTTGGGCTTCATTTCTTGGTCTGGTTTGGGAGATGAGGTATTTACCGTGTTTTGAGGTACATTTGGCACGCAAAAACCTCAATCTATAATCCGGCTCAAACAACTGCATATTTCAAGCAACATAACCAGTGGCGCCGTGGCCGGGGTGGGGGCATTCCCCCCCTATTGTTTGAGACCCGTCGGAAAATTGTCACTGTTGTCGGAAATTGTCAAAGTTTTCGACGGGGGGGGGGGGGCGAAGATTTAAAATGTTGTCGTCCGGAAAATTTTTTGGTTTGTCGGAAAATTTTTTCGGTTTGTCGGAAAAACACTGCCCTTAGCCCCCCCCCCAAAAAAAAAAACATGGGTCCCACGGCGCCACTGAACATAACAGGGAATTATTAATATTTTTTATACATGTATAATAAACCTTATCGTTGGAGGGGCTTTACGGCCCCCTCCCCCCTCACTTTTTCAATGCGGACTAGCCGGAATAAATGCAATAATGAAAGGATTGAATATAGATCACATGGCATCTGTTGTAAACATGTAAACATAATTAATTTGAATTACACGCATTCTAAGTTCCCAAGTTAAGAGACAACAAAATTATGAAAACTTATGCACCATGCACCATCTTCGCCGAAACGTCTCTTTCTTCTAAAGCCGGTTTTCCACTAAGCGGAATTTTGCGCGCTAGCGGAATTCTTCTTTGTCTTTGCTAATTGGTTCTATCCGAGAAATCACAAGACAAAGAAAACTTCCGCTCCCGCCCAGACAAAATTCCGCCCTGTGGAAAACCGGCTTAATTCTCTGAACGTAATGGAGTACTTGTGAGACATTTAGATTTGAGCAGTTTTTCACTCGAACGTCAAACCGCAAGCAATTAGTTCCCGAAGTCATTTCCCACAAGCTTTTTATTTCTTTGAGAGCGAATTATTTCACAATTTTATAGTTTAGTTTATTTGGTATATCTTTAACCTTTAAATCTTGAGGATTTTTAAGTGTTCCATGCGGCTTTTATTAATTTAAGTGCTACTTGTACTTCGTGTAGGTTATAAAAATGGCCGCCATATTTCTACATTTTGCATTATTTTAATATGTTATTTTGAAAATCGTAAAAAACCTGCAGAATTATTTGAAAACTGAAAAGTACATCTGTCATTGATTTTTATACCTGAAATTATTTAAAAAGTTACGCGTAGCATTACGAAGTACCAAAATATGGACAAATATGTGTTAATTAATTTTACGGCAAACTACAGATGGCTGACAGGAAGCCGCGGTTTGCGCTTTAATAGCGACTGAACGTCGAAGAAAAAATCTAAAGGTCTCTATTATGTTGCGCAACGCGGACAGTGTTAGGTCAGGGCGCCGCAGGGCGACAGTTCAGCTAGTTCGACAATAGTCATTATATGATTATTTTTGAAAAGGATTCAGGAGTATCCGCGCTCATAAAAACAACCGAATATCTACTCGAACAGACCTGACCGCGTAGCTCAGTTGGCAGAGCATTGGGCTAGTATTCCAAAGGTCGTAGGTTCGATTCCCATCGTGGCCGGGAATATTTTTCAAGCTCGCCCGGTGTGGATATACACTCAGAGTAACATAACAAACATTATATTCACCTGACTACCTGAGTACAAAACACCAACACAGAAAAAACCCCGAATATCTAGTTTAAAAGTTGTAACCAGTGTGACCAGGTTTTTTCAGGGGCAATTACCACATCCGGCTGCATAAATTACTACATTTCGTCAAAACTTACCACGGTGCCATATTTTCCCATTATACCATATTTTTCCCAAAAATGTTGGCGAGGAGGTGGTGGGGGGCAAAAAAAATTTCACCAAAATCTGTAAAATTTAGGTCTGGAAATTTTAGGTCTGGAATAAAATTACCGTAGTAATTACCACAAATTTCAAATTACCCCAATCGTCCAAAATTGACGAAAAATTACCACGGTAGTAATGAAATTACCACACTGGTCATACTAGTTGTAACGTTTGGTAATTCATTCTGTTCTTACATAAAGTTCCAGCGGTTTGTTTGTCGTTCCGCTGATGAAAGCGTATATTTCTGCGGGCTCGTTGCCTTTTGATATGAAATTTCTGACATTTGTAAAGTATATAACGAAGCAAAAAACGCGAAAATGACTTCTGATCTCAATTCAGAGGATGTGAAAAATAAATTGTTTCACTCTCTAAAGTCCCGTGGTGTCCTGGATTCTCTGAAGGTATGCCATTTGCTTTGAGATGCTTGCGATCTGCTTGTCAACTTTCCGAGTGTCAGAAGTGTGTCACACTGTCAGATGTTCACCAAATAGTTCCTGGCGGGAAATTTTGAATCAAATTCCTGCTTTTGTGAATACTCGTTTTTTAAATAATATAAATATGTAATTTATATCGTCAGATTTGATATTCCAAAATTATGAGATAAACTTAGAGCTAGATTTTTAGTATATTATTCCATTATGTTACATTGCACCTATAGTTTAATATACGCCCTACTTCATTATTTTACTGCCAGATTATTTTATTTGGCAAGGGGAGAGCGCTGGTACTCAATGGGTTAATTATTAAGTCATTGTGATTGCTGTGCATTGTATTAAATGCAGACTGCAGCATTGAAACAAATGGAAAGAACACTACATGCAAGCCTATTAAACTGGGAAGTTTGGAAATTTTGCAGCCGTGATCTTGAAAATTTAAAAGTAAATACCTAGAAAGCATCAAAATCCTGATATCTCGGTTGCACAACACAAACTTTCCATACTGCTCAGGATTGAGGTTCTCAGACGAAGTTACTCATCGCTCTTTATATTCAGTGCATGAGTTTGTTAGGCTGTTTGTTAGCCAGGTTGGAATCCAACAAAAGTTTATGCCGGATGTTTATGCCAGTGTGCCACATGACAAATGCAAATTATGATACTATATACTGTATTTAAACAACAAGTGCTGAAAAGCTATTAAAGCTTAATAAAGTTTATGAATGTTGGAGGTTTTAAACAAGGTTAAATTGGCTGCAATTGACACACTTATTTTAAATATCAATCTTTCAATATTAAAAAAAATATTGCCAGAGGTTTTTCTTTTATTAGTAAGATTTATGCCATTGGCATAAAAATCAAGAACATTTGATGCCGGAGATACCCAGAGCAACACCTACAGATTCCAACCTGATTTGTTAGTTTGTTCGGAATGATAAGACTTGGTATTTATTCAAAAATAAGACTTTAAATAGACTGGAAGTTACTATCGCGTGGCCAGCTTGATAAATTGTGGGGTCCATATTCATATATTCGTGTTCTGCATTATTAATTTATTTTGAAATCAATTGTTTTTAAGGTCTGTGAACACGAATATATCAATATGGGACCCCAATTATTGAGCTGGCTACGCCGCTGCAGCCAAAACCTGGGTCATTATACAAGCCTTTGAAATTGATAAAAACAAATTGCTAAAAACAAATTGTTCTTTGCACTTGTTTAAACATACCACACTGCAATATATATATACTATATGTCTGGTTTAATTTGTAATACTTTCTTTGTAGGCTTGCATGCTGAACAAAATCATTGTAAACCTGGAAAATTCTTTTAATAAAAACATTAAGAACAGAAAGATTACAAACTTCTAAGTTCTCGACACATTAAAAAAAGTCCCTTCCTCACGAGAGTTGGTACTAGGAAGAGATTAATGACCGAAACAATTGTTGCTTTTATTTACAAGAAAACTACAAAGGCATGTCACATGAATAAAATAAAATAAAATATACTTATCAAACAGACATAACCATCACAGACACAGGAAAAAAATTGAACTTTCCATGGGTGTTTGAATTTAAAAACCGAACTCTTACCATTATTGATTATTATGGACTTCCCATATCGTAAATTAGTAAAAACCATGATGTTTAATATTTACCATTATACAAATAATGAATGTTTATGAGTGCAATGGTAAGAATATTTTCATGAGGTGAAAGATGGAATGTTCCATACTCATTATTTGTTTTATATAATACCAAAATAGACTAATATTGCTTTTTCAAGAACAGTTTAAAACACCATTTAATATTAAAATAAATACACACAACTTGATGTTTCAAACTCAAAGAGTGCAATGGAATAAAACGTATATAGTACAATTGCACTCGCAAAGAGTGCAATGGAACATATTCCATAATGCACTCTTGGGAAATGGAATTTTCTATTCAATATCATGTGACCATAAACAGCCAATTAAATGATCAGAATTCAATAAGGTGTTATATACAGTGTAATACATAATGGAACTTACTTTTTCCCTGTGCACAGGAAAATACCATTAATGGTAAATATTAAACATCATGGTTTTTACCCATTTACCATATGGGATATACCTATAATAAGCAATATTGGTAAGAGTTCAGTTATTACATTAATAGTATGATAAATCTTTAAAAACCATTCAAAAACCCATTGTTGGAAATTTACAATGTGCGTAGCAAAAGAAAACAATAGTAAAAATGTCAAGTGCCAAACCTCATTTAAGGATAGGTACCTGCATGATATGAGCCACATTACATAAACAATTATTCAAACTTTGTAAAAACGGCCATTTAGAGATAGAAGGAATTGCAAAATTTTGGTCAATGGTGATTTCTAGGCTCAATCTGGATCTGAAAAAATTTTGGGCCAGAACTAGACTTCCAAAATTCTAGCCAGAGCAGGACCTGAGTTTATTTAACAGTTTCTAGTTATACTTTATGTTACTTTTTGTGCTGTCAATCCTAAAATTTAGGTTGGAATATATGTCTATGGTAGTATATCTAATTATGTAATTAAGATGATCTAGTGTTCAAATATTTGGTTGATGTTCATCATTGAATGCACTTTATAATACAATTATTAATCTTTTTCCTAATGAAGACTGAGTTCCAGTTCCATGCAGCCAGTCATGCTTTTTTTCATCAGTTCTGACTGGATCCAGGACGTTACCCTAAAATACAGGTTCAGTTGCATCCCTAATGATTTTATGCATGAGCGTACAGGGATGATTCTTTATGGGGGTCACTCGGGAGTTTGCCCAAATTTTTGTGGAGGATTTTGATGAAATTATGATCATGATTAAATTTGTCAAAATTTTCTTGGTTTTTTGAAATTGATTTTCTGCATTTCTGGTTTGATTTCCTCCCTGCCTCTCTGTCTCTATATGCAGGGTAACGCAGGGTGCGATAATTCAAGATTTTTAGTCGTACCTAACTGGTACGGCAATGGTTGTTGACGTGTACTTGCGGTAGTACAAACTCAGTACTCAGTGTGTACTTAGTTTTTAAAATAAGGTTCATAAAGTACATGTTTTTGAAAAGTATGTTCAGACTACGATGTAGAAAAAGAACCACAATTGCAATATACAAACAATCGACTCCAACGTTTCTTGGTGCCACCAGTCCAATCATGTTTCATGCCAAGACATCTCAGACGCATGATAAACCAACTAAATTACGGTATTGAATACCTTAGGCTTAGCAAGGTCATGTGGTACCAACACAAATAAGTACGCAGATAGCAAGAGTACCTCGTACCTACGCGGTACCTGGCTGAAAACAAAGAAGTACCAGACAGTAATATTGGCGTACCTCCGGTACGTAAGTACGCGATTTATCGCACCCTGCAGTACGCATATGATTTTATGGGATATAAAATGAAGGTTATGACAGATCAAGAGCTACATGAGAATTACTAAGACTCGCTGTATATGTGAGTGATACGAAGTTTGAATATGAGATGCATCTCTTCACTTGTTTTTTTACTGGATATGCACAATCCAACGATGATCTAGTTCAAACACTAATATACCTGAACGACTTGTTGATCTTCTGCCGATACACCTGGATGTTTTAATTGTACTAAACTAACGCTGAATTTCAAAAATATCCACAAAAAACCCAGGCATGATTTCACTAGGTATACAGTCATGTTTACCCTATATGCAGTGAGTATACAATTATTGGACGAGGTTGAGCAAAATATCGTGATTTTATATCAGTGGCGAGCAGATAAATTATTTGCCGATGCCGAAGGCCGATTACCGATTAGTGTACTTTGTAAACTATTACCGAAGGCCGATTACCGATTAGTGTACTTTGATTACGATTTACCGATTAGTGTACTTTGTAAACTATTATGGGCACATGTTTAATAAAAAATACAAGAACAGTCAACAGAAAAAGTATAATTTAATCTGACATACACAGCGTAAAAATACTGTATTGCACAAAAATTGTGATTTCTATAAAATCAAGCATGTAAACAATTTAATAACTTTTGTTGCATGCCTTTTGTGTTTTCGGCGTCCTTTTCCTCCAGTAAAGATGACAAATCGCTTTCCGATAGCTAGGCAAAACGGGCCATGTTGACATTTCAAAAGAGAAGACGATATTTTTTAATTTAAGCTGACGAATCATTTTCAAAGTTCGCATGCTCAATGAAGTATTTGCGCCAGTTATTTGCACCTGATCGATATTTGCACACAGTTATTTGCACGTAAATTAACCAAATGAATCAAATTTGAGAATACTATAAAGTGAATGATAATTTTAAATATTTTTATAGTATCGCAGATATAGCGAGAGTACCGAGTACCAATCTGGTACCATACCTGACTGAAAACAAAGAAGTACCAGCCCGTAATATTGTACGTGTACTATCGCAGCCTGCCTAAAAAGTAACTGATTATTTACAGCAATGTTCCTGATATGACTAATTTTATCTGCGTATAATGGTTGGAATCTTTTTCAAATATTTTCAATTATTAATGCTTTTCTGATTTAGTCTCAGTTGAGGAAACAACTAATACGAGAACTTCAGGACACCACTGGCTTACCAGTGCTTCACTCGACTGTGGAAGCATCATCATCTGAAAAAGAAAGTGATGGAATCCCATTATTTCAAAGAGCAGCCAACAGTATTGTTGCCGAATATTTAAAGAGATGTAATTTCGAGTACACATTGTCAACATTTTTACCTGAAAGTGGGACTACTTTGGAAAAGGTGATAAATTGCATACTTGCTGGAAAAATACTTAGTTGTGCATGATACGTACTGTACGTACAGTACTGATTATTAGAAACCTTATGCAACCCCACACAGAAAAATCATGTCGTGCATGTTGGGAATACTTGGCGATTTGCTTGGTTATACTCTTCGTCAAATTTGTTGAATATGAATGTATTTTGGGAATAATTACGTTTTGGATATCGAATCTTGCCTAAAATTGCAAAAAACGTGGCCACCTGTGACATACACAGTGAACTCTAATAAGACTGCCCATACTTGCCTGAAGCCAACCGTGCGAGGAAATTGCACTTTTAAAAGGACTAAGGAGAGTTTCGAGGAGTGGGAAATTCAGCAATCTCGTTCGCAGGTTAAGGGTGGGCATAGCTCTGGAGAAATCGAATTGATTCAGGCCTGTGATTGGCTAACGGCAGATAGTACGTTGGATTTCCAACGTGAGTTCTATATAAACAAAGTATTTGGAATTTCTCGTCGAAAATTTGATACTTTTTACACAGAAATCGATTGAAAACAATTAGAAATTCTGGAGGAAATATGTACGAAAGCTGCGGATTGATAGGAATACAACTACCTGAAAAATACAAGGAGAACTTCGCCGTTTCGAGCGAAGGCGCTTCGACTTGTGCTGTTAGTGTTTGTATACATCGTACTTGACCTTTTATATACTGTCATACCTAACACTATGTATACCATAAATTCTGACAGAAGAGTTAAATGTAAATTTTAAAGCATAAAAATATATAATACTTATTATTATTGAGGAGATTATATTCATCAGCAAAGGTCAAGTACGATGTATACAAACACTTTAATAAACAGCACAGGTCGAGGCGCCTTCGCTCGAAACCTCGAAGTTCTCCTTGTATTTTTCAAGTAGCTGTATTTCTATCCAACCGAAGCTTTCGTACATATTCCCCCCAGAATTTTTAATTGTTTTCAATTCAATTTCAGTGTAAAATGTATCAAATTTTCGACGCGAAATTCTAAATACTTTATTTATATTTTGCAACATTGCCGAGCATGCGTAGAACTCACGTTGGAAATTCAACGTGAATCAATTCTATGAGCTATGCCCACCCTTAACCTGCGAACGGGCATGCTCGGGGAACGAGATTGGAAATTCAGTCAAAGTTTATTTTCGACGAAAATGAGCAAGAAAAGTCGTTTTTCATGAAAAGACTTCAATTTTAAAACTCAAATACGATCTATTTGATAGTTAGAACTGCTTTGCATCTCACAACAGCGAAAGTTTGAAAGGTATCATGTTTGTTTTGATAAAAACGACACTAGCCGTTGAACGTGCCGAAGTGAACTTTGCTCTTTAACTAAAAAAACAAACTTTAAAACATAAATCCACCGACCAATACCTGTTTTGTATTAAAGTCTAGGACCTGGTATAGTTGTTATTTTGAGTGCTTTTTGACATCTCTAAAACGTGAATAAATCGATTTTTCCGTAGAAACCCCCCGGGAGAAGTTCGCGCGCTGTGACTTTCAAAAGAGAACTAGGGAGAGTTCAATTTCCTCGTAACTTTGTTTTTTTAGCAAAAATACGTCGAAAAGTTAGGTTTTTCGTCCTAAGATTTCAATTTCAAAAATTTAAACTTGGTTTTCAGGATAGTTCTATGTATTCTGCATCAACTAGCTGCAAAAACGTTTGAGGTATCAGCTTTATATTTGAAATATTTAACAAATTTGAACGTGCCGAAGAAAATTTCGCTCTTCAACTCACAAAAAAATAAGGTTTAATTAAATCTCTCTACGTTTACGAAACTTGTTTTGGAGTAAAGTTCAAGTATTGTTGTTTGTTTTAAGCCTTTATTCTTGTTCAAATAATGCTGTTTTGTGTAAAAAAAATCGGCGTTCTTTTGATGATGTAATTTCGGACTTTGGCCTTCTTGGCGGCCTTCAGTTTGGCTTCAAAGATGGCGGCCGAGTTATCGTTCCAGTCTTACTAGAGTTCACTGGATATACATCATGTCATGCATGAAGGAGTGACACAATATACTGTATAGGGATTCGCATTTTGAATTTGCAAGGATTTATATAACATCTATCTTTCAGAGGTTTTCATGCAAAGACATATTACATTTGCTTAACATCGATCCTAACTCAAAACTATATCTAAATCTGGTAAGTCATCTTTTGGATATTGCCAGAAAACCTTTATTTTTTAAACAGTTTTGTTTATGATTTGCTGCTATCTTTGTGGTTATTTATGTTTTTATTTAAGGAACGCTCCCTTAGTTCAACAACAGATTCAAAAGGTAAGCTTCTGCAAGGTGTTCGAAGTTCATTGTTACAATCCAATTAAGTCATGGTTTAAACTACCGATTCATATTAGATTGTCTTCAAATTGGTTGTCTTGATATTTAATACTTCAGGATTTCTTTGGCACTTTTTAATGGAAGTGGCAGCTTTCCAAAGTAGAATGAAATGCGATGTTAACATCCAAACAGAAGATACGTTGCCTACCCAAATCTCGGCTTCTTTAGGTACGTCATCTTTCTTTAATTTTGCTTTTAAGTACTGAAAATGCAGGATTGTTGTATTGTCTAACTTGCAAAATTAGATATAATATTATAAGGTAGCTTGTATTGGCCGATTATAGCTCGAAAAGAAATTGGGTCTAGAGAAGCAGAATAAGGCAGAACCTCTATATTTTGATACATTTATATGGTCGTCTATTCTTTTTCCCTATGATTTATGAAGACATTCGAGGTAAAATCAGTGCATCCCAGTTTGGTGGCCTACCCGGAACATCCGCAGTTCAAACAACGATCTACCTAATGCATAAATGGCATTTGGCAATGCACACTCCAGGAAAGGTCACCAGAATCGTCTTCCTTGACTTTCGAAAGGCGTTTGATTTGATAGATCACAACAAACTTCTGGGGTCTTTCATTCACATCGGCGTACGGCCAGCGTTGGTAAGCTGGTTCGCATCCTATCTCTAGGGCAGATCGCAAATGACATCATTTCAAGGTGCGCAATCTGACTTGAGAAAGATCAAAGGCGGAGTTCCACAAGGTAGCAAGTTAGGTCCAATAGCATTTATTCTTAAAATTAAAGAACTTCCACTAGTTACTACTGAATGTGCGTCATCCAAAGACCAAAGCACATGCAGTAATGTTCATTGACGACACCACATTGTCTGACGTCATTGATTTAACTCACCACCTATCTGGTAACCCAATTGGTAACACTCAAAGAAATGGAAACAGCGTACTGCAATTCACAAATGACGAGAGAATGCAATTGAACGGGGAGAAGTGCAAGGAAATGGTAATTGACTTTCGGAAAATTAAAACGGAGATACCGCGAGTTAAAATACTAAGGTGACAATCCGGTGTCTCGTGTAAAATCATACAAGTTACTAGGACTTCATCTAACAGTATTAAAGATTTTAAGGAGTTATGGCGCATCGACAAGTGACCTATTGGTCTTCTATTGTACAGTAATTCGTTCTGTTCTGGAATACGGAGCACAAATTTGGAGCGGTGCATGGTTTAATTAACACAAATGCAAAAGAAAAACACAGAAAGAATTAAAAAACGTGCCCTGAGAATAATTTATCCAGGCCATGGTGACTGTGAACTTCTGTTAATCCAAAGCAATCTACCAAACTTAGAAGGACGCAGGAAAAACTATGTGCTTCCCTGATTGAGGATATGTTGGAACCATCGCACAGACTTCACGGACTATTACCACAGAAAGTGATTGAAATAAGAGAAAGAAATACCAGGGAAAATGGAGATAAGATGTATAACTTCTTTTGTAAACCTGAACGATTTGGAAATCGTCTTTTAGTTTATGCAATTAATGAGTATAATTTTAAATTTGATAAATAGAACTTTTACCATAATCATATTAATGCACATATAAATATATATTAAGTAATTTTAAATACACATATGTGAATAAGTTTAATCCCTTCGCCCTGATTTTAATGCTTGTAAACACGTTGTAATTTAGCCAATCCGCTATTGAACGTGTAAATAAACCCCACTATTATATTATTATTATTATTACAATTTTTCAAACCCAGTTAACCCACTATTTAACGCAATATCCCAATCCCTTGCGTCTTTAAATTTATTCATTTTGTTAATTCGCTTTTGTAATTGCATGTCATAGTACCTCTTCTTGAAGATGTCTTGAAGTAAATAGTAATGTTCGGCTCTAATGTAAATACATTTTTTATATATTTTTTATCATTCTATACTTCACGTGATTTTAGATTCCATTGCGATTATAGGTTCTAAAAATCTGCATACCATTTGAAGATTTGATGCTGTGGTAAACTTTGTTCTTTTTCTTTTGAAATATTTTCTTGGTTTCTCATATCGGGTTTCCACTTATTTAGAAGACAAGTTATCCAGTGTCGAAAAGGAATATCGAGAAAAGCAAAAGTTAGTTCAGTTGGATAAAAACCATGGACTGGAGGAAAGGTTGATAGCAATGCAAAAGAAATATGAAGTGGAAAAGAAGAACGAGTTAGAGGAGGAGGTACATTTAAATTTCCTTTAATATAAACTGCTGGCAAATACGTACTAACATTATATTCATGTCTATAAATATCATGAAGTTGTTACTGCCTTTGCAGTAACGACTTCATGCTATTTATAGACATGAATATAATGTTAATACGTATTTGCCAGCAGTTTATATTAAAGGAAATTTCATTTAAAAATGCTACCAAGTAATTTAAATTAAACTTTGAATTTTAAAATGTTTTATTGCAAGATTAAATGGCATTTCCACATGAATGTTTCGCAATCTTTTGTGAGGTGCATGAATTCCTTCGGAACAACGGAAGAAGCCCTTTAATATCCCAAATAACTACGAAAAAACCCTGTTAAAGCAAGGAAGTGGGAACAAAGACAAAAATCATTTGCAAACATTATTCATATAGATCTGCATCAGAAAAGAAAAAGTTGTACGTGTACAGCATTCCACTGTTTTACCATCTTTCATTTTTTTCGGGAATGCATGTGGCGATGCAATACAGCGATATCCTTTTGGATGTACAGTGTTCCAATCCATTAGCAAGACGATTAAAATGAACTGACATGTCACATGATTATGTCTTTAATTCATGGTTTTCATTGTAGGTGAAAAAATTTCGAGCAAGTGAGTTGTCCAGATTAAGAATGGATGAGAGACAGAAATATGAAGCTAAAATTAAAGCAATGCGCCATGAAGTAAGTTAACTGTCACAGCAGATGATAAGTACTATTAATCGCGATTCTGTAGATATGTAAAGAAGTGTCATGTCGACGCTCTTCTCGTTCTAGAAAATATTTTCCAAACTGCTATATCTACACTACAAAATTAATTTGACTCTCGTCCTTTTTAATTACTACTGTAAAATGTGTTCAATAAATGAGTAACTATATTAAAAAACTAAAAATTCTAAGTCGAGGAGAACATTTTCTGAAACAGAACTTCTCTAAGACTTCCGTTGCTTTATTTCCTCTCAGGGATTTTGGATATGAATTTTTCATAGATATTTAACTGCTCATATCATGGATGAACGTAACCAATAAAATGTACGCAGATCGATGAAATATTAACTTGAATAGATCTATACAGTGTTTGCGGATTTGCAATATTTTAGGGATATTACGAATATTACACGTTAGAACAATCGCCATATTTTTCCCATTGCTGCCGTTGTTTTTAATTCGAGCTAGAGAATAAAGCACCTACCAAAGCCATGGTACAATTCTCGTGGTCTTTGCGCTATCATTGCATTTCCACTGCTGCGTCAAACACGTGTCAGAGAGAGTTTATCGCCTGCTATAGCTATGAAAAGAAAGCTAGTGGAAGATGGCTCAAGGTCATTTCAAGATAATCGCTGTTGCCTTCTGATATGCTGTCCTTGTTTTAATTGAGTCACTCGTTGGTCGAACGTTTCCAGAGATCCCCTACTGTAAAGTGTGACCGCCTATAGAAAAGCCGAGCACAAGCACCAGTACACCTGTATGTACTGTAATTTTGCAACTATACAATTTCATTGTCGCGTTTGTTCGGTACGTAGAAGGAATGTTTCTTCTTTTCGTCCCTAAAATACACAAAATAGTAATGCTTCACTACGAGTAACGAGTATTTTACTGTACATCACTCCAGTAATTACCAATTAATGTGTGATGTACCTCAGTGTACCTCCACCTTAGTGTACCTCCATCTTAGTGTTCCTAATTATATCTCATTCACCCTTAGTCTACCTTCGTTCACCTTGCTCCATGTCACTGCTCCTCACTCCGCCTAACTGAAGTACTTCACTCCGCTTGACCAAACCTAAAATTGCCCCACCCCGCCTACTGTAATTAAACCATTGTTTCACTCCACCTCCTACGCCTCAGCCTACCTCACTCAATCTCTCTTCAACTTATTCCATCTCACTGCTCCTTACTTCCACCTCGCGTACCTCATTCCGCCTCACAAAGCCGGGAGCACGCGCTACAATATTAGTTGACGAAACCAATCTAGAGACTGCCTGTTTTTTGTATTAGGGTGCACCACGGCGTATTAAAATGCCTCACTAAAACTCACTTTCCCTCAATTCACCGCACGCCACCTTCCACCTCACTTCGATTCACTTCATCTCAGTTGGCGTCACTTTACCACACTTTGCTTCACTTTCGTTTCACTCCCGACTGCACTTTGCTCTTCTTCAATTTGCTCTTCTTCACTTTTTAGCCTCACTGCAACACTTCTCTTCGCAATTTCACCCTGCATCACTTCATCTTACTTCACCTCACTCCATCTTACCCCATCTCGAGAAAACGAATGGAACGGCGTTACCATACACTATCTTCCAGAGGAATTTCGATAACACTGAGATAATTAGCACAAAAAGATTAGCCCAAACTATCTATGAGGGTCTTCTTACTAGGAGGGTTTTCTGTTCAATCTTTTGTCCATTGATTCACTGTTTGGCATATGGGCGATCACATATCTCCATTGTCAGTAAACCAGACAGGGAGAACGAATCAGTATATCAGGGACAGTTTAATTTAAGAAAGAGTACATTCGTAGTAGTGTGTTTAGAGGACTTCATGAATTCCACAATGACAAACTTGAGGCTAAGTAAATACAAGAAATCACTGTAAAAATTCATCCAATAATTCTGTATATACATCTACTACAGCTGTTTCAGTAAAGTTCGTTATCAAATTGGCAGGCAATATTTGCGATGAAGCAGGTTTTTCTCTTTTCTGTCCACTACCACTACTTGATCTTTGCCTCAGTGTTTTCCAAAACCTTATGCTCTCTGTCTACCACGTGTTCACAGCTCGTCTTTACCCATGGGAACTCAAACTGTTTGCAGAAGCTCCAGTGAATGACCATTGACTGCAATAACTTTGTTATATAGTCATTTAGTGGATATGCAGCGATATGTGAAATTGTTTCATTTTCTTCCCAGTGCATTCTGCAATTAGGTGGTCTATTTTCTTGATCCATTTCTTAACCGAGAGCAGATTAAGCTTGAGATGTAGTCTTGAAAGATATATTCGATTGCTCGTCGCTGAACAACCTCTAGACAAAGGAGGTCCCTAAATGTTGTTTGGGGGTATCCAGAGTGCACTGCCATAACACAGGTGCGCTCGAACAAGCGTCATAGAGAAATGGTCGACATTTTATCATTACCAATGCCTAAATAACGGAGCAGAATCACTACCGTCGGACGGACTGTCCTCAAGGGTCGTTATCGGGGGTTATTTAATTTGTGATATGATAACGACATGTTTTATATTATTTCGTTTGCAGTATGATGAAGAATTCAACATAAAAAATCAGGCTTTGCGAGCTTTAGAGAAAGAGATGTTGGAAAGGGTTGAAAGACTACAAGAGGTACTCATTCAAAAGGGGCAGGGCCGCCGAGAGGGGGGGGGGAGTTTCCCTGGACCCCGAGGCTCTGGGGCCCCTAGAAATTTAATGTTGGGCCCAAGTCATTTTTTCGGGCGAAATATTTCTGTTTTCGGGCCGAAATATTTGTGTTTTGGGGGCAAAGTACCGAAATTTGGTATGGAAAATTGCGGAAAAGTCCCACGAAAGCAATTATAACGTACTTGTCCGGAAAATATTTTACGTAAAAAGAATTTATTGTCCGAAAAAATTTTTCCGGAAATTTTTTTTCCAATAGGGGCCCCTAAAAAAATTTTTGCCCTGGGCCCCCGCCATGCTCTCGGCGGCCCTGAAAAGGGGTGTGCCAAAACGCCACTAAATTATGGTGTCCCGGATAGTACGTTACATTTCATACTGGCTGAAATAACTACCATATCACTGAACCGATAGATGCAACCGTACCAGTAATTTATGGTAACGACACCAATATTCCAATTTGTCCGAAAAGTTTATATTTTGCTAAAATCATTTAAATACATGCCTTTTTGCTCTAAAACGGATAGTTTGTAGCCCTTATCATCAAGATTTTCTTTAAAATGATTAAGTATAGCAAAAATGTGTCTGACTGCTCGCGAGTTTTCTATTTTTAGACAGAAAAGATAAATCAAGAGCAAAATAAACCTCGTCAAAAGTAATAAAAGGTCTAAATGAAAACTCTGCAGCAAAATCTAGTCTATTTTTAGTCTTTTAGATTAATACTATCAACCATTCCTATAGTAAGATTGTTGTTTCCTGAATTCCATATTTGGTCCGGTTGAAGTATTGGTACAGTATATAGCCACTTTAAGTGACTCGAAATCATGCAAAAATTAATGATTTAACGATCTATTTTCAAGGTTCATCAATCTGAGGCATACGTAGAAAGGCAAAGGTTCTTGGAAGAGATGCGATCTTTAAAAGAACGTGAAACTGATTTCAAAAATAGAACTTTGATACAAGAAAGGTAAGTGAGTAATAATTTCTGTTACAAGCAAAACTGTTACAGTTTTCAATTTGGATATGTATCAAAATTAGAAATTCATTAAATCAGCTGGCCTTTATCATTTGGGTCAGTAGAACCATGTCACAGGATAGTGTTCCCGAATACTATTTGTCGGTTAAAAAAGAAACTTGCGAACCTTCAAATTCTCGGTTCTGCTTGCATTATTGTTTTCTGCGCTCTCTATGAATTATGGATGCATATGCGAATTTAGATAGCAACATTAAAGGCTGCTTTACACTATTAAAGTTTCTCTGATCGCGGTAAGAAATTTGCATGAATAAATTCTACGTTTTGAAAGATTTGTAAGAAATGTTTGAGGGAGATGCTTATTTACACAACAAACCGTTAGTATACCTTTCGAGTTAACGCATTATAGCGATATTTGCTTGCTGTGGATCCTGTTGTGGGCCGATCTGTGGTGATCTTGATCCAACGAGCCTGGCGCAAGGAAGTAATAAAATGAATCCTTGAGCCATTTTTACTATACAGCCATTTATTACTATTGCACGTTAGATCATAGACAATCCAGAAGACAGACACATCACGGATGTGACAGCTAGGCACATCACGGATGTCACGATTTGTCATCATATTTCTAGCTTACGTTTCCAGTCCCTATCTTCTGGATTGTCTATGGTTAGATTGAATGATAGTACTGTGATATAGCGTGCTTTAATGCATTCATGCATTGGTGTGTCTAATTTGAATAAGTACATTAACATGTAAATGAAAACTATTGTATATATAGAGCTTGATATTTTTAATAAAATTGTTCTTCTTATCGACGTTATGAAAGCGAAGTGTTTCTAATTATAAGACAAACACCCGGATATAACATTGGCGACCCCGCCAGGACCATGGGAAAGGATTACGATGGACGGTAATGGTGAAAAAGGCGACGGTGAAGCGACTATACCGTTGGGAATTTCCAGTGTGTTTGATGATCGGTTCGACGACGAAAATTTACTCACTGTTTATGAAACTGAGAATTTGTCTTTGTTGGAACCAATTTATAAACGGTTCGACGAGCAGTTTAAGTTGTTAGAGATTCGCTCAACGGGTCGAAGCCGAACGGGCCGAGAGCCATCGTGTTAAAATGGAACACTTGTTCGACGAATTTGGCGCCAGAGTTAGACATATCGAGATGGGTTTCGAAGCGTTAAGGCAAGAAGCAGCTGCTATACACGGCGAAGCGAATTCGTGCGTTGGAGCAACGAGCGATAACTTGGGACTCGACACAAGAACGAGTGGAGTCTGTTCAGGCAGAATTATTTATTTATTTATTAATTTAGCTTTGCCAACTAGGGCAGGGTCACCACAACAGCATATGCCAATTACTGTGGGCCCTTTTACCTAACCCACCCTGTCAACTTTCCCTGTGGGAGGAAACCCACGACTTTCAGCAGAGCGTTGACTTTTACTCTTTTTACATCAGGACTGGGTTCGAGTCGCATTGAGAAAGTTCTCACTGAGGCCTGAACCTGCGGCCTTAGAGGTGAAAGGCTAGTGCGCTAACCACTTCGTCACCGAAGCCCTTAATTAGTTACCGATATATACATGCAGCTTCGAGAGAAATACGAAGGCGAGTTTAAGACAAATCAACAGCAATTAGCGAAATAACAAAGTGAGTTTGATACAATCCAACAGCAATTAGCGAACTAACAAAGCGAGTTGAAACAGTCGCACAGAAACGCTTCACATGTCACGCAATTCCAATCAACACCCCAGATGTTTGCCAAGAAAGTCGGTGAAAATTATTCGTCGACAAAGTCTGCGAGAAAACTGCCTGTACCTACTTCAACACTGCGACAGGATAGTTATGCGACGCCAATTAGCAGCAATGACATCACGGGAAACTCGAGACCTGTACAAAGATCTGTGGCGTATAGTGGCGAATCACTTTGGGAGTCACGCATTGCCCAATTCGAAATCACCGTACAATTAAATGGTTGGGATACCACGCAAATGGCGGCATATCTGGCGACGAGTCTAAAAGGTCCTGCTTTAAACGTATTGGGAAATCTATCTCCAGAACGTCGTCAAGATTACCGTGCTCTATTAGCAGCCCTTGGAAGAAGTTTTGGGTCAGCCCATCGCACGGAATTATCACGTGTAAAGTTCAAGCATCGAGTAAGGCAGGGAGATGAAAGCTTGGCAGCTTTGGCTGAGGAATTGGAGCGTCTGGATCGTTTGGCGTATCCGGAAGCGTCCCAAGAGCTGCAGGATGTATTAAGTCGTGATCAGTTCATCGACGCCTTATCTGATGAAGATATGCGCCTCAGGATAAAGCAAGAAAGGCCAAAATCTTTACAGAAAGCGTCAGAATTGGCCTTGGAACTGGAATCATTCCAGATCGCGAGTAAACAAAGGTTGTTCAAAACCAGTCGTGAAACGAAATTTGACGCCGAAAAGGCACGTAATGAAGAAACGGAGAAAAAGGGTAGTCGGACTACTCTACCAAAAGATTTAGCATCCATGTACGAGATGATGGATCGCCTGGAGAAGTCCATGCGCGAATATTTGTCGGAAGTGGTGATTGCGGTTGGCAAACGGAGGAAACCTGCACCTGGGGTGGAAAAAGCTGTTTGTTGGAGATGTGGTAAATCGGGTCACTTTCGACGAAATTGAAAACTGGGAACGCTCAGAGCGTGCTACTGTAATAAGGGAAGTGTCTCGGGAAACTCTCCGAAGCTGGGATCAAGGGGCTGATGCCAGCAACATTAAAAGCAAAGAATGTCCCACATTTTATCCTGAAAACTGGGGCAATGGCAGCAGTTAATGATAGTCTATGGGTCGAAGAACGTGTTGAAAATGTTTTATGTTGGTGCGTTATTGATACCGGTTCGAATATTACAATCGTGCGTTCAGATGTTCTAAAGGAAGCTGGGACTAATGTTCAAATAAATCCAGTTGAAAGCTGTTTGAAAACGGTGACTGGGGAGACCGCGCCTGTAATTGGACGGGCAAGACTTCGTTTCCAAATAGGAAAATTTGAAGCTTGGCAAGAGGCTTGGGTGGCAGAAATTGTGGACCCATGTATTGTTGGGCTGAACTACTTAATTGGGCATCATTCTCAAGTGGACATCGCTGGAACTACGTTAAAAGTCGAACGTCAGTCCATTCCGTTATGTCGCGCAACTGTTCATAGAGATCGACCTTGTTGTCGAATTGTGGCGACCGAAAAAGCAGTTATTCCGCCGCGAAGTGAATCCGTTATACGTGGGTCTTTAACTGAAGAAGTTGCTTCATCGTGGGGAAGTGTGGAGCCGATTAAGTCAGCAAATGCACCTCGAGATGTTCTGGCTGCTGGGACTTCGCTGAATTTGCGGTGTCCTACAAGTCTTCCCGTCAGAATCATGAATTTATCCGATAACGCGCGGCGTATAATAAAAGGAAAACATGTGGCTAACTTTGAGCCTGTGGAGTACGCCATAGATGAAGAGTTGGGAAGCAGACGCACAGACTACGAAGAGTCGGAAGCGAGTGACGTGCCTGCGCATCTAGTTGACCTATACGAACGCAGCAAGAGTAATCTTAGTGAGGAGCAATCTAAGCAGTTGAAGAACCTACTTGTTGAGTATCAAGACGTGTTTTCGCGGAACAAGAATGATTTGGGTCGTACTGGACTAACGAAGCACAAGATTGATGTTTCTGACTGTGAACCAATTCGCCAACGACCGCGAGTTCCGCCCCCTGGCAAAACGTGAAGAAGCTACAACGGCAGTTAAAGAGATGAGTGATCAGGGAATCATAGAGCCTTCGAGAAGTCCTTGGGCCTCTCCTGTGGTATTGATTAAGATGAAGGACGGTATTCTGTGTTGATTGTACGATGTTCTGTGTTGATTACCGGAAATTGAACTCCGTCACGAAGAAAGATTCTTATCCTTTGCCCAGGGTTGACACAAGTCTGTATTCATTCTTTGGCTCTACGTGGTTCTCTACGCTTGATCTAAAAAGCGGATATTGGCAGGTGGAAATGGAAGAAGCTGATTAGGAGAAAACGGCCTTTACCACCGGGAAAGGATTTTGGCAGTTTGTGGTAATGCCATTCGGACTGCAACTTTTGAAAGGCTCATGGAACAAGTTTTAGTCGGCCTTCCATGGTTTGTTTGCCTGGTGTATCTAGACGATATAATTGTTCATGCCCAGTCCTTTCAGGCAGAGCTTGATCATTTGCGGGCAGTCTTTGATCGTTTACGTGATGCCAATTTGAAGATTAACTCTAAGAAATGTTACCTCTTCCAAACAGAAGTGAGTTACCTGGGTTATACAATTGGCGAAACGGTATTATGAGTGATCCCAGCAAGATTGAAGCAATCCAGTCATGGCCTGAGCCCCGAAATGTCGCAGAATTGAGAAGCTTCTTGGGTTTATGCTCACATAATTGTCGGTTTGTCAAGTCGTTCGCTGATAAAGTTCAGTCACTGAATCAACTTCTGAAGCAGGGAACACCATTCAAATGGACAGAAGAATGTCAAACTTCTTGGGAAACATTAAAGAGATGTTTAACTTCGACACCGGTATTGTCTTATCCATGTCCTGAAGAAGACCTTATTTTGGATAATGATGCTTCTAATGTTGGACTTGGAGCAGTACTCTTGCAAACACAAGACGGAGTGGAATGTGTAATAGGATATTATAGTCGAACGCTTAATAAGGCGGAGAGAAATTATTGTGCGACGCGGAAAGAGTTTCTTGCTGTTGTTTCTTCGGTGAAACATTTCTACCATTTCTTGTACGGACGGCATTTTGTTATAAGAACTGACCATTCAGCTATGCAATGGTTGGTTAGTTTCAAAGATGTTCAAGGACAATTAACACGATGGTTACAAAATCTGCAACAATATGATTTTACGATAGTACATCGAGCTGGTAAGGGTCACGCAAATGCGGATGCATTGTTAAGGAGACCTTGTGCAGAGTTTGAATGCCAGTATTGCGAGGAAGTAGAAGATGCTATTAAATCGCCCGAATCGATTCCTTGGAAGAAAACCATCCTGAGGAGGAGAGTTCACGCCTGGCAACGCTGACGCCTCAGTTTGAGCTTTCAAATGGAGATAACATTGTTCCTGATACGATCAAGAAGCTGCAAGCAAAAGGTGCCGATATTGGATCTATATTGAAGTGGTTAAATGAAGATACAAGTCGTCCGGAGTGGCCAATCGTGGCACCATGTAGCGAAGTGACAAAAACTCTGTGGGCGCAGTGGGATAGTTTATGCATTCATGGCGGGTGTGTTTGTAGAGTGTGGGAAAATACTTCATCTTCAGCTTTTCATTATCAACTGCTTGTTCCAAGGGATATGAGGAAAGAAATCTTGATGGAGCTACATGGAACTCAAACAACAGGACATTTTGGAATAAATGAGACGATTCAACGACTTAAACAACGATTTTATTGGCCTCGGTGTCAAACGGATGTAAAAACCTGGATAAAAGAGTGCGACGCATGCTTGTCAAGAAAAGGACCTCGGAATAAGCAGAAAGCTCCTCTTCAGTTGTATACAGTCGGTGCTCCTATGGAACGAATTGCCATCGGTATTATGAGTCCCTTACCTGTTTCCAAGAATGGTAATAAATATTTGCTAGTAAAAATGGACTATTTTTCGAAATGGCCGGAAGTCTACCCCCTGCCGAATCAAGAAGCTAGAACTGTAGCTCAAGAGTTTTTTTACAGATTCGGATGGAATTGCACTCTGATCAAGGTCGAAATTTCGAGTCGGAATTAATGAAGGAGGTATGCGCGATTCTGGGTATTCATAAAACAGGAACAACTCCATATCATCCCCAATCAGATGGGATGGTTGAACGATTTAACCGTACATTAGCAGCACAGTTATCTTTGTTCGTAAGCGAGAACCATACTGATTGAGACGAACATTTGTCTACCGTTTTATTAGCGCACAGAACAGCGGTCCATAAATCAACCGGAGAGACGCCAGCCAAAATGATGATGGGACATGAACTTCGACTTCCCGTTGATGTGATATTTGGAAAGCCACCAGATGAAGATACTCCAGAACATGGAACTTAGTATGGGAAGTTGCTAAGTGATAGTTTGGAACGTGCTCATCAGTTTGCTCGAAGTCAACTTTTTTAAAAAGTCTGGACACAAAATGAAGCAGCAATACGATAGTCATGCGTCAAACACTCGTTTTGAAAAGGGAGATAATGTCCGCAAGCTACAGCGGTACTGGAAAGGACCTTATTCAGTACTGAAACGAATAAATGACCTTGCGTACAAGATACAGTCGGGACTACGCTCTAAACCAATGATCATACATCGAAATCGGTTATGGAAATACAACGGTAATAAACCTCAGACGTGATTAGGTAGTTGTAGACAAGATGAAGCTGATTCTGAAGTTGAACATTTATCTAGTAACAGACAAAGGCGAGCACCGGATAGGTTAAATTTATAAGGTCCTTCGGACGAAGTCATATCTAAGGGGAGTAATGTGATCATTCCTGCATTGGTGTGTCTAATTTGAATAAGTACATTAATATGTAAATGAAAACTACTGTATATACTGCGGACAAAATATCTAAATGTATCAATCGAGTTTATGCGCTATAAATTTATGTTATGTGCAGTACATTGATGTTATGTGCAAATACATCAATGTCATAAACCAATACAACTAAAAGATAAACGATACAACTAAAAGATAAACCGATATGACTAAAAGATAAACCGATACAACCAAAAGATAAACCGATACAACTAAAAATGAGGAAACGGAAGTAAATACAAATAAAAGATGAGGAAACGGAAGTAAATACAACTAAAAGATGAGGAAGCGGAAGTAAATCGTAAAAACAGAAGTTGAGCGACGCGCCGACATACAACAATGGCGTCTCTTGGACCACGCATTTGGCTTCCTAATACAGAAAACTTTTTTCGTGAATTGGTTGATTTAATAAGAAATGCTCAAATGCTGAACAAAGTCGCACTCATTGTAGCCTGCGTGCAGTCCCAGACTCCAAAGGAAGTAGTTCCTTTGGAGTCTGGGACTGCACGCAGGCTACACTCATTGTGACTCGCCAGACTTTTATTGTCGTAGATTAGAAGAGTATGAACGCACATTGAGTGTTTTAACAATAAGAATCACCGAATCATACAGACATTATTTATACACAGACGCATTATTTGGTACAGACGAATTCTGAGTACGTGGTATTCGGAAACGAGAATTCAGTTCTTCGGGTAACGATGTGAACCGCTGCACTGAACCACCTTGTGATACTGCGTTTTCTTCGCCCGTTTGCGAAGGATGCTGTAAATTGGTCACCGCGCTTAAGATCGACTGAACAAAATCCTGAACATTTGGTATTCTACTCTGTCTCTCTTCTGCCATGTTTTTTAATATGTATTCACTAGCTTGGCGCCACTTGGCACGCACGATTTTGCCGAGTCGCGTTACTTCCGTTTTTTCCAAGTTACTTCCGCTTCCTCATCTTTTGGTTGTATCGGTTTATCTTTTAGTTGTATCGGTTTATGATAGTGATGTATTTGTACATAACATCAATGTATAGCACATAACATCAATTTATAGCGCATAAACTCGATGATACATTTCAGGGGCCCGTTGTATAAAACTCTTAATCACTTTTTTAATCACTATTTTGTAGTTAAATAGTGATTAACTCCATAGACGGATTTTCATATTTTTTACTGGGGTGGTGCCAGAAATTTTAGGGGGGTGAGCCGTGAGCAGGTGACTGAAGCAACACAAAGTGTCACCAAACCCCAGTAAGGTCTATATTCTAGGGGTGGAGCACTAGAGCCGCAAGGGGGAGTTTAGAGAGCAGAAAACAAAGTATCCCTGGAAAAATTTGAAAAAAATCATGATTTCTAGCTTCGAAAAAAAGTTTTTTGAAGAGTGTCATATCAATGGATTTGGCATGTCCGATTGTCTGTTGAGACTTGAGAGAGTTAAAGTTAAATGAACCTCTAACAGTGTTAAACCCAATAGGCCACTACACAATATGCTTTTACTTTTATAAAGTCATTAACATTGTACGTGTCATTTGAATCAGAGTACAATTTATGATGCAACTCCGATGTAAATAATATTTGGGGCGTAAAGATTAAATCTAGGCAAGTCTATTTCCTAAAAGAATTAAAAACTAAAAATAATGTTCGTAAAAATTCGAAACGTTCCTTGCAAGCAAGCTATTTGCATGACAAGGCACTACAAACTTTATTCAGGGGAGATAATAGAGTTTCAAAACTTTACAATTGCTCCAGTGAATGCAAGCGAGGAGCGATTAGTTTCAGAGTGTTGCACTGTCTTTTTCTATATGAGTGTACTCCTACATTTATTTTGTACCATCAACACTCTGCACGTTGGAGTGGACTATTTAATTATTTTTTATTATGCCGAATATTGGGGGGGGGGGTTGAAAATATTTTTGGAGGGGTGGACATTTTGTTTGAGGGGGTTATAGCTAATATTGGAGGGGTAGCACCCCCCTGCACCCCCCCACAAAATCCGTCTATGATTAACTCTCAAATACGCGCTTCTTATTGGATGACATTTCCACTTAACTATGATTAACTTTAATCACTTTTTTATACAACCGGCCCCAGATATTTTGTCCGCTAAAAAACTTCATATGAAAGCGAAGTGTTTCTGATTATAAGACAAATACACATATAACAGTACTAACTAGGATATAAATCAAACTCAGTCAAATTTTGAAGGAAGTCATAATTTCATTCATTTACAGCATGAAAATTACAATCAGCTAGGGCCTAGCGAAATTTGAAGATCTTTGCAATTGTGTTCAGAGTATTAAGTTCGATCCATATTATCCTCATGGCGGATTTGTCTGACGGCACCAGGAGCTGTCATACCCTTTTGCGATGCTCCTTTGTTTGAGCCCATTTGCAGTCCAATTACGTTCTGACCAGCTTTCATTTGCTCGTCGGTAAAATCTCGAACATTTGGCGTGGATTCACCTCCTGTCACCTAGCGACAAAATAAATGATGTATACATTTCAGTCAAAAAAATCTCTTCACTATAAAATACATTCGTTTAGCTTTTAGTAAGTAACATTTTTACATTCAATATGAAATGTTTATTTATAAAATCAACATTCAGTCTGGAAATTATTTATAGCATAATTAGTGCGTTCCGATTTGATTGACAGGCGTATGGATTTCGACCAATGGGAATTTTGCGTTGTGTGGGCAACGCTTATTTCGTTTCTTGATGTGTTGTCGGCAGTCCCTCCTTTCCTTTCGCATGCCCGGAAATCTAAACCCGCGGAAAGGAGGGATCGCTCGAAGTCTAAAATATATACTGTTGTCACTGTTAGTATGTTATTTTGCATTTTGTGAGCTTTGACTTAATGTAAAATTTAACAGAAACCCTTCGTAAAATGTTTTGAAATGTTCATTCAACTATATAAAACTGTTTGTGCCGATGAACTGTTTAACTTAATAAACAAACTATAAGTTCAAATGATTGGGTAATTCAGTTCAGTTCGGTCTTGAAATGTATTTGCTATCCTTTACATTTTAACTTTTTTTCTTAAATTAAACAGGGTAATTTAGCAAACGTACAGCTACATTGAAAACGAAAGTAGTGCATTTTTTAGGGGGAAAATACGTTGGCTCGCCATTGACTCGGGGATAAAGCAATGTTCAAGACGCAGTCGAACCTGTTGCAGTATTAACCAGTGAAATGAATATAACTGGAACGCTACCCGTCCAACCGGAATTTGAAGCCAAACTCGAAGGCCAGTCCTAGTCTTTTCGTCCCAGTCTTTTCACGCATCAATCAGTCAATCATGATTTAAACACGCGTGTCCAGGGGTCAGATTTGGCTTCAAGAAAAAGATAGGCAGTTTATCTGAAGGTATAGAGTTACAGTTATATTCATTTCACTGGTATTAACAGGCACTCCATGTAGCGGACATCTCAAGCTAACGTAATAATTGTCGGTCATTCGAAACGTTCCAAGTCGTTGGTGTCCGTTAACCGGAAGTTCGACTGTATGTCAAATTTACATCTGTGATAGTACACACAAAGATTATAATTTCTACATATTTACCTTTCTTTTGAGCGATAGAATGCTATCGATGACCTAGTAAGTTGTGAAAAGAAGATTTTTACTGCATGCATTCATGTACACCGACACCCTAATGCTTTGGAGAATTCTGTTGGACAGGGGCCCATTCGGCGGGGGGGG